GTTCGATCCCCAGTACTGAAAAAAAAAAAAAGAAGAAACAGAGGCAAGGGTACAAACAGACAATTCATAGAAAAAGATACACAGGTATACAATACCTTTATTGGTAACCAAATAAATTGAAATTAAACAACTCTATTTATCCACTTAGGCAAACATTTAAGCTACTGTTGACACCATAATTTTTTTTTGGTACTGAGAATCAAACTCAGGACCTTGCGTTTTCGAGGCAGGCAGCAGAACCACTGAGCTAAATCCCCAGCCCTATTTAAGCTACTGTTAATGTCCAGAGTAGGCAAGTGTGAGCCAACAGGAATTCTCCAACAAAGCTGGCATGGAGGTAGATGTGATTAGTCACTTTGGGAATTACTTGGCAATAGCTATCATAATTCTATTTGCTTATATCTTCAGACCTAGTAATTCCCCTTCTTGGAATTCATTCTACAGAGATTCCCACAAGCGTTCAAGGGTAAATACACAAGGATCTCCTTGTAGCATTATTTGTAACTGAAATTCAGGAAACAGGCTGAATTTCCATCCGTAGAGGGTAGTTAAATAGATTATGCATAATGGCATCATTAAAAAGAATGAGGTAGGGGCCAGGGATTTAGCTCAGTGGTTTCACCACATGCTGCGCAAGCGCAAGGACCCGAGTTTGATCCCTGGTACCAAAAAAAAAAAAGAATGAGGTAGAGTCATACTTACTGATATGGGAATATTTCCAAAACATATTAAGAGGAAAATGCAATTAAAGAAAATCAAAATTTATTTCATTCATGTAAAAATGTATATTATGTATACATATGCAATATATATCTAGCATAGTGTGTACCATATGTACATGTGAAGGAAAAGCTTTGAGAGCCTCTGTCTTTTCACTTTATGCTTCCTAAATTGTTTGGAAATTATTTAACCTCAGGTATATATATTTTTTTTACTAGAAACAATGAATGTGTTTATTAAAAAGAAAAAAAAAACAATAATGATTGGCTCATCTCCTCTGTTGGAATCAAGTAGGCCAAGGTGGCCAGGGGGAGCATCTTGCCATCTGGATGTGGCCATTTGACGGCAAAATCCCAAGCCTGAGCCACTCACTGGAAGAGGCCCAGGATAGGAATGAATCCCTCTGGAGACCACCATACAGTGAGTTGTGTTGACCTCTCTGCTCCCTCCCTGGCCACACCTCTGCTCCAAGGACTTGATGCTTATGGAACACACACACACACACACACACACACACACACACACGTGCGCGCGTGCCCCAAATAAGAGCAACCTTTTTCCAAAAGCCTTGTGTGGTTTACCACGTGTCTAACGGTCCCTTCCCCTGGCTAGGTGTTGTTCAATAGGTTACTTAATCTCTCTGAGCCCTGGCTGCCTAGAAGGATGGCAATAACTCTGCCTCCCTCTTGCAGTTGTGATGGCTGAAAGAGAAAGTGAGAACGAAGCTCACTGCCCCCCACTGCTGGCCCACCACCCTGGTAAGGAAGCACTACACTGCCCTCTCCTTCCACAGACCATCTTCGCATCCACCCAGTGCCTGTGAGATAGGAGGGGCCGGGAATGTTGTCCTCATCCAGCAGAGCTCAGTGTGGAGCCTATGGTTACAAGTTCACAGTTGAGCTGGGACTAGAACTCAGAGCTCCTAGCTCCAGTGTGAACTTCACCCCCAGGATCTCTTCAGCCTCAGCTGACCTTGCTCTTGTTTGCTCAGACTCAGGTCCTCGGCCAGACCCAGCCTGGGGAAGGGACATGGATACATAGGGTGAGAGAGTGTAATTCACTCTCTGTGCCCCAGTTCTCTGACCTCTGGAATGGGGATAAACTACTCAAAGTCCTATTTGCAGGCGGAGTGGTGAGTGAAGGAGAGGATGGAAGAGAAAGGGCACCTGGTGGGCCCTGCCTGCTAGTTCCCATCATACCTGCACACAGTAGGCACTCTGCATGTATCGACTTGGTCTTCCAGTTGACACTAATCCTGACCCAGCACTTCTAATAGCAGAGTGGCATAAAAAGTTAGGCAAGGGTGGATTAAGGAACTCAAAAGGATTACTCAGTAAGCAGCTAAACCTCTTAAACTGCCTGGGAAAAGACTACGATCAGACTGTTCATTAATTTATTGAATAAATGACTGCTGCGCACTTAGCTGAGCTGGAAGGCTGACAACAGCGATGGCAGTGTTCAGCTGGTGAGATCTACCATGTACCCATCAACCCTATGAGGTTGAAGTATTTTCAAAACTCCTCCCCCCATTCTCTAATAGGGAAGGTGCTAGTTTGAGACTAAGGTGAGGCAGATGTGACAGCTGGAGCATAAATTGGAGGAGGGAGTTGTTAGCATTCTACGTCACCTCACCCTTGTCCCCACCCCAGTGTTTGTGGGAACATCGTGATGTACTGCCCAGAGCCCTCTCCCATGAAATCATTGCCATCTCTGCTGGGAGCACTGTGGGCAGACTGCCTTCCCCTGGCAGCAGATCCAGGGGTGGGCCCAGCTGGGGAGAGTTACTCCGCCCACACTCATGCCTCTGATGCCCATGATCATGGTCCCTGGGTGACCCGTATTGGATGACTGATTGGGGCAGGACTACAAAGGAGTATGTTATAATGGCCTAGCTCAAGATGACTCTGAAGGGCCATTCTAGCCAGGGCTCTTGTTCGGGCTGCTTTGTAGCTTCTGCTTCCCCTCTCCCTTCTGCAACGCAGCTCCCTAATAACCCTCTTGCAAACTGAACCCTGTCTCAGAGTCTGCTTCTTGGGAGACCCAACCTGTAACAGTATCACTATCGAAATAATAGCTGGTTAAGACACAGCCTTCTTAAAAACTCTAAGACAGAGTTCCAAAAGCCAGGGTTCAGGGATATTAGCGCTAACTACAAACTCTACTGTTTCAGACACTTTACCTGGATTAACTTATTTGATCTCCACAGCAGCTCTATAATCTATTAACGTTCCCATTTTTCAGATGAGTTTGAGAGAAGTTCCACTTATCTTGCAGAAGAAAATGAAGAGATTAGTTATGAAAGCCAGTCAAATACATACAGAAAATTTTTTTTAAAGATGGAAATTTTCCTTGTATGTACCATGGCTCCATTCCCAGGCTTTAGGGAGCTTGACTCCTGACTCCAAAGAGCCAGCCCAGGCATGAGAGTGAAATGTTCAGGATCAAGGGGCAGCACTTGAGAGAGGTGAGAGACACTTGTCAGAACTGTGGTGTTCACATATGAACAAAGGCTTGGGTGATGAGGACTGGCTTGAGGACAGGCAGTAGTAGGAGCACTGCTGGAACTGGACCCTAAGGCTGTCAGACTGCAAGTCCACCCCTCTTTTCACAGGTCTCTCTCCTCTGCTCCAAATAGTGGAGTCAGAATCCTCCTGTGTCAGGGATTTGGGGATCCAAGTGGTGCTTTTGCCAGCCTTATCTTTTCTGTCTACTGTTTGCTGTCCAGCTTGTCCAGAGTGCCTCTTGGAGGGATGGTGGGGTTCAGCAGCTAGATTCCTTCTTCCATCCCTGCTTTAATTCTGGAAAATAGCAAGTGTTGGGTTTCCATTGTAATCCCCTCCATATGGAGAGCATTTGAGTTTACCAACTGGTTATAAATCATTCCTCACTTATGTTGAGGCTTATTGCCTTGTAAAGTAGCAGGGCAGGGATATTAGCCTTATTTTACCGGTGGAGAAACTGAGGACTGGGGAGAAGGGACTGAAGACAGTGTTCAGCCCAGGACCAAACCATCCTGTTCCAGTTCAGCCCCTTGGTTTGTGTCTCTGTTCTGGGGTCCTGGGACACAACTGGAGTAAACACTGGCATCTCTGAGCCCAGAGCTCAGGGCAGTCCCTCCCCAGAAGTCTAGGGAGAATTTGGAGGCTGCTGGGGTCCCGTCAACAAGCAACTTGGGCACTAAGACAAAGCCCAAGCACTGGGGACAGAAGGCCTCAGCCCTTTGATCCTCTCTAATCTCTGGAATCCAGCATCTCCTAGAGAACGCCCCACTGTCCCATTCTAACACTGCAGCAGCTCTGACTGGGCCTTCTTCTGCCTTCTGTCTTCTTGCCTTCCTCCCACACACCTGAAGGTCCTTCTAGAAACAGTCAGCAGTGGGGGGCCAGGAACTCATACTGGTGATCAAGACTCAGGCCAAATCCTGCCAACCTTGGGCAAGGTCTGCAGCCCTCATCTGTGGAAAGACTGTGCTGACCTCACAAAATTATAAAGCTGTTAGACCTTTCTCTCCCTTCTAGACACACATGCCTTCCCATTATAGTCCCTGCACTAGTACAAGTCCCTGCCTTTCACGAGTTCTTTTTCAACCCCTAAAAACAAACTTCTCCTCCCAGGATGCTCTTACATGAGATGTCCACCTCCCTGAAGGCTGAGTGACCCCTGCCCCAGCCAGCTGAACTGCTCCCTCCTCTGGGCTTGCCGGCTTGGCCAGTCCACCTGTTTTCCGGACCTCAGCACTCTTCCTTGTTCCAAGATTGGTTATTTCCAGGTCTGTCACCTGGACTGTGATTCCATGAGGGACTGTGCCACACTAGCCCATGGCCTGGAATAAAGCTAGTACCAATTTGCAGAATAATCACCACTATCATTTTTGAGGTTGCTTAGGAGTCTGGCACCATGCTAAAGGCATCACAAAATCTAGTCCCTGTCTCTCTCTAAGGAAATAGCCTCAGCAGTCTGAAAAGATGGTGACCGGACAAGGGAGTCTGGGGCCAGAGCCAAGCTGTTTGAATCTTTGGTACCCCCAGCTCTCCCCACTCTAGGAGCTGGGAAGTCCACCGCTTATGCTACCACCCAGCCACAGCCTCTGCCTTCCAGGTTGTGACAGTATAATTGCCCAACTCACAAGATATTTTCGAAAGAAACTGTCAGTTTCCTGTCCTGGGCACTGCTGGGGACTGTGGCACTCATCCCACCGAGTCTTCAACAGCCTCGGAACAGTGGAAGCTAAATATAGTTGAGAATTGGGGTGATAAGGAAATGAAAACTCAAGATTGCAGAGTGACCCAGTTTTATTTTGGTTTTGGAGGCCAGATAAGGCACTGCTGCACTTCGCAGGGGTCAGGACTGTACATCTTTCCCTCCCCAGGCCAGACCCCAGCAAGGGCTGGGGCTCAAGGATGGTGGCAGTGGGGGCATCAGGCAGAGGCCTGTAATGGCTCAGATGGGGGACTGGAGAAGGGAAGGAAAGAGACGGGACCGAGAAGCTAAGAATGTCGAGTCGCAAGTCTCCTTCACATTACCGCTGAGGCTCAGGTCAGAGCAGTGAAGTCAAACTCGTCCTGCGGTGGGCAGGGCCTCGAGGCAAGCCCGGCCTCTCGCCCGTGGCGGGGTTTCGCGCACACCGCGGCCTCCAACCTCACGGAGGGTGCGTGCGGGGCCGCATCGCCGCCTGCGGAGTCCGGTGGGCACTCAGGCCCGTTTCTCCACTAGGGTGCTGGGTCGCGCTTAGCAGCTCACAGAGCCCGCGGGCGGCGCCGACCCTAGGTCCGAGAAGCAGTCGAACTCGCTCTGGCCCAGGAAGAGCTCAGGAAGCTCGCGCACGCGATGCAGCCCGAGCTCGAGTTCCAGCGACGTCAGCGCCTCCTCGTCGATGAGTTCGACGTCCATGCTGCCCAGGGCGTGCGTGGTGGGCGGTGGGGCCAGGGCAGCGGATGCGGGCTGCAGGCCTGGGGGGACTCCGGAGGCGCCCGGGGGTGCGGTCTGGCGACCGGGGTACAGAGTTGCCACCGGCTGCAGGTGCGCGCTGCCGGCGGCGGGCGGCGGCCCCGCGGGAAAGGGCTGAAAAGAGAACGAGGGCCCGAAAGCCCCGTACGCCAGGGCTCCGGGTGGGGGAGGCGGCGGTCCCAGCGGAGGCCCCTGCGACCGCAGCCCGCTGTCCAGGCCCGGGTCCGCGTACGGCTGCAGAGTCCGGAGCGCGTGAGGGCTGTGGGCGGGAGCGCAAGGAGGCGATCTCTGCACCAGGTGGTAGCTCTCGGCCAGCATCAGGTGGTCGGCCATGGCAGCGGACGGACGGTCAGCGCGGGCGGGCTACCCCGAGCCCAGGCCAGATGCTCCCGAGGCTGGAAACCCGGGCACCGTGAGGTTCCTGCAGTTCAGCCAGGCAAAGGAAAACTGAATCTGACCCTTTCCCCTGCCCAGCCCAGTACAATCCGAGCGCCGCGTTTCGCGCTGCTGCGCACTCTGCGGACCGTAAAACTGCCACGCACCTTAGCAAGCTGGGCTCCAAGACCTGCGCAGCAGCGTTCGTTGGTCGACCGAGTTCTTTATACTACAGGCGGGGATACCCTGCCTCCTGGCTCTCATTGGCTGGATGAATGGCTTTTGGGCGGGGAGAGCACCCCCACCTGGACCTAAGCCCCGCCCTCCCTCGGAGTCCCGCCCCTTGTGCCCAGGCGCTGCCCGTGGCTGACTGCTGCGATGAGACATTGGGGTTGTCTGGCTCTGAGGGTCTTAGATTCGAGGCTAGAGTAGGCCAGAGCATGAATATACCAGAAAGTGAGATGCAAGTGGGGCAAGGATCTCAGACCCCCCTAACCTCTTGGTATTCCAGATGGATACGGAGCCTCAGGAGCGGAAGAGGTTTCCTAGAAATACACCTCAAAGCCTTGACCAAAGTCAGACTCGAACCCAGGCCTTATGATTGCGGCCTCTACACAGTGCACGGAGCACCTCAGCAGTGCAGGGTCCCCCGGGAGGTCAGCTCTCTGTTCTCATAGTTTCCAGAGAGTCAGTTGCTCCCTCTCTGGCTCCCACTGCACCTTGTCTGTTGAAGCATGTACTGGGTTGTTATTAAAGTAATTTATGGGCACGTCTCCTGAAGGACTTGTTCATCTTCTCAGCACCTGGCCCAGAGCCTGGCCCAGCTCTTTTAGTAAAAGTTGAGTGAACACAGGATAGATAGGTTGCACCTCCATCCCCTGAGCTTCCATCTCTTCATCTGTAAGACTTTGGCATCAGCAGCATGGACCCTCCTGGACCGTGGTGAGGTTTAGACTAGGGAATGTGTGAAGTGCCCGCCACGGTGCCAGGCACATGGACGCTCCAAGTGGCCCTTCCACGAGTGAGAGACCGGATTACTCTGTCTCTGAAGACCTTCCGGTGGGCGGGAGGGGGGGTGTCCCACCTTCCCTGGACAACAATGATAATAACTTGGGATTTTCAAAGGCACTACATTCTCTAAGCACCTTGTGGGGAGCAGGCATGGGTTTTTAGCCCTATTTGGCAGAGAGGGAGACTGAGGCACACAAGAGAAAGTGGGTGTCCATGGGTCTCATGTGACAGGTTAGGCTGTGAGAGCCATGTATTCTCTCCAAGCGCTGAGACAACTGGAGTCTTTCCCTGTGGCCAGGAGACAGTCTCCCTGCACCATGACCTGCACGTGTTTGCCACTCTTTCCCTCCCGCCTCTCACTCCCTTCCCCCAGCCTTGGCCTTGGACTTCCTGGAACTTGGGTTTATCTGGTTTGTGTAGAGGGGAGAAGTCTATCGGCAAGAGTTCAGAGGTCTGTGTTCTAATCATAGCCCAGGCCCCCGGCAGGCATGTGACCCTTGGCTGTTGGCTGTTGGCTGTTGCTGGTGGTGGGGATCACTCAATTTCCCAGAGCCTCAGCTTTGTGATCAGTGAAAGGGAAGTGGTGATCCCTGCCTGGGCACCCTGAGGGCTTGTGGGATGGTCACAAAGGACCACAGGTATGATCACATTTTTGCAAAGTATAAAAGCTGCACACTGGAAAGGATTCCTCAGTCAGTCTCTTTCCACATAAATTTTTACATAGAAATCCCTAAACCTGGCTGTTCCTTAACTCATTCAGAAGTGGGGTGTGTGTGTGAAAAAGAATCTCCATTCCCACTCTTAACACCCAACTCAGACTAAGAGTACTCTTATTTTTTCTTCTTCTTGGAACTGGTGATCAAACCCAGGGGCTTTCTACCACTGAGCTACATCCCCAGCTCTCCTCCTCCTCCTCCTTCTTCTCTTTTAAAAAGTGTGTGTGCGAATGATATTTTTAAAAGTTCTTTAATTTGATCAGTGAGCATTTATTGAACACCTACTCTGTGGTAGGCATTGATCTACTCGTGATCCTTACGTTTTTAAGGTCACATAATTCTCTAAAAATCTAGTGAAAGCAATGGATATCATGGCCACAAACTGTCAAATATGCATTCAGTGGGTTAACCAGCCTGGGGCGGGGGAGCCATTCATGGACTCCTCAGGAGCTCATGGAGCCTGAAGAACTCTTGTTAGGTATTTGGGGATGTATAGTAAAGAACAAACAAATTGAACTAATGAACCACATATTAGAAAGTTATAGGTGAAATGGGGAAAACTAGAGAAGTAAAGAATTTAGGGGAAGACTGTAGAATCACACAGGGTGGTCAGGGTAAGCCTCATGGGGACTGAGAGGTCTGAGCAGAGACTGAAAGAGAAGATCTTAGCTATGTGGTGTCCGGGGCAAGAGAAGTCAAACATGGTCAACATGACACTCAAAGCATTTCAGGTGGCAGAGCATTTCAGATTTCTGTTTTTTAAATTAGGGATGCTTGGCCAGTAAAGTCTATGCAAATATTCCAAAATCCAAAAAAAACTCCAGAATCTGAAGCACTTCTAGTCCCATGTATTTTGGATAAGGGATACTGAATCAACCCCATTTCACAGAAGAGAAAACAAGGGCTCAGAACAGGAAGTGACCTGCCCAAGGTCACACAGCTATAGGGGGAGGAGTGTGCAGCCCCCTCGTTGCCTTCCAGGGGCCACTGTCCTTCCCCTTGTTACCAGCATGCTCTAAACTCCTGGCCCGTTAGCTCCACCTGCTTCCTCTTCTTGGAACGCTCTCCTCCTCCACATCTGCTTGGTCAGTTCTCTCACCCCAAACTCACCTTTCTCTCATCCTGACCACCTTTTTTGATTTTAATGTTTTCCAAATATGTCCCTCCCCTAAACTCCTCTCTTTGATATCCCTCCCCTAATATGTCTTTGATATCCCTCCCCTAAACTCCTCTCTTCCTGAATGTGCTATAGATATCATGACTCCTAACATGGAATATAGCAGAAGTGATGGTGTCATTTCCAAGACTAGTTCATAAAAGTCAGCATGGGCTCCTCCTCCTCCCTCTCTCCTGTTCTGGGGGAAGGTAGTTGGTCTGTTGTAAGGACACTCAAGTAGCCATGGAGAGGTCCATATGACTAGTGAGGAACTATGTCCTCTGGCAACATCTGTATCTGTGCACCATCTTGGAAGCAAAACCTCCAGCCGCAGTCAAGTTTTCAGGTGTCTACAGCCCCAGCCAACATCCTCTTTGGAACATGAGAGACCCTGAGCCAGAATGGCCTAGCCAAGCTACTACTGGATTCTTGACCCACAGAAATTGAGGTTAAAAATGTGTGTTTGTTTGGTTTAGTTTAGTTTCATTTTGGTTTTTTTGGTGCTGGGGATTGAACCCAGGGCCTTATGAATGATAGGGAAATATGTGCTACCACTAAGTTACACTCCCAGCTCAAAACTGTTTGTGTTTTGAGCTGATAAGTGTTGGGTTGATTTTTGCCTAGCAATAGATAACTAGTTCACAATATAGCAACTTGTCTCTGTTTCATTCCTGGAATGGGACTTTCCTTGATTTACTTTTTATTTTTTTCTAAGCATTTATCATCTTCTAACACACTAGTTCAGTTATTTATTATGTTTAATTGCTTATCTCCTCACCATGAGAGCAAAGAAGTTGGCCTATTTCGTTTAGGTACCTAGAACAGTGCCTAACACCTACTGAATTTCATTAAATATGAGGTGTTATTGATTTAAGATTCTGGTTTTGAAAAAGTTAAAATGTGAAGAAGAATTTGTCTGTCTTCTCATCGGTAAAATACGGCTGTAGGTGCTCTAAGGATTAGAATGTAGAAGGACAGATGCTGGTTTTGTGTAGGGCAGGAGTGTGCTCAGCTAAAAATCAGACATATTCTTGGACAATGTGATGATAGTTGAAGAGACTGGGTAGAGTTTCCTGGAAAACTCTTTGAATAGTATGGAATTAGGCAGAATAGGTAAATCCTGTTGTCAGGGGTTAGAGGTGGGGGAATGGGGAGCAACTGCTTAATGGGTTTGAGGGTTCTGTTCCTTTTGGGATAGTAAAAAGTGTTTTGGAACCAGAGTTGGCGGGTGTACAACATGGACAATGTAATTAATGCCACTGAGTTGTTCATTTTAAAGTGGTTAATTCTAGTGTTATGTAAATGTAATCACAATCGAAAACAAAAACAAAGATGTATTTAGCCAGTGTTCACTTTTTGTGGTTTGCTTTCCTCCTTTCCTTCCAGGGATGAGGATGTGATGTCTAGAGGAGTAGCCACCTGACAGGACGACGACGACGACGATGATGATGATGATGATGATGATGATAATGACTAACACTGTGTACCTGACATTGTCCTTTACAGATAGCAACTCATTTCCTATTTATAATAACCCTGTGAGGAGGGCACTGTTATTCTCATGCATGAAAACATTGATTCGGAGAAGAAAGATGATGGACCATGCTAAGGATGGCAGAGTGAAATCTCACTAAAGCCTGTACCTCCATGTACCACAGAACCTCTGTAGCAATTCGGGATTCCTGCCTTGGCCTGCTCAGCTTTTTGAGAAAAACATTTCCTATTTAGTTAAGCCACTGTAGTCATTGGAATTTGTTTCCATCCATCCTGAGATTCAAAGCCTGGTGTGTGAGTTCAGTGCATGTGGACCTCACTGATATCCTGGCCTGCAAAATCAGTTATCAAATGCTTTATGATCTCCTTTGTCCCAATAGATGGTGACATTTTGGAAGATAGGGAGGGGTCTCTCTGCCTATTTAAGTCCCATTGCCAGCTCAGGGCCTGGCCTGGACCAAATGGCACATTTGTCAAGGTGTTGGGATGAGCAGTTTGGACCTGAGGCAGAGGCTCAGCGTGCAGAGAGATGTTTCCAGGTGCAAAGCAGATGTGAAAGATGAAGTGAGCCCAGAGGCGAGGGAAGACATTGAGGAGTGAAACTTCACAGATGGTCAGGAATAGGCAGAGAAGTGGGTTTTCTCAACAAAGAACACAGCTTTTGAGTGAAAGCACTAAGGTGTAAATGCACAGGATGAGGTTCAGGAAGTCCCGGATACCCGGCCAGGGCCAGAATGATGGACATTTGTGTCTGGAGAGGGGGGGAGCAGGCCTGAAAGGTGAAGGCCTCACACAGTCAGCACTCAGGATATTGGAAACCGTGTGTGCAGAGCTTTCTAGGCTTCTCAT